GGAGTGGCTATCATGATGTCCTCAAGAGCATCGAAGGCTCTCATGCAGTGGGAACCAATCTCCTCCAGGATCATGACAGCAAGATTCAACTCAAAAGGAAGAAAGGTCACAATCATACAATGTTATGCACCTACAAATAATGCAGAGCAAGAGAAAAAGGAGGAATTCTACAGACAACTTCAATCAACACTGGACAAGACGTCAGTTGGCGATATCAAAATTCTGATGGGCGACATGAATGCCAAACTGGGAGGGGACAACACGGGAAGAGAACTAACCATGGGTCGAGAGGCGCTAGGTGAAATGAATGAGAATGGAGAATTGTTTGCAGAATTCTGCGCATTCAACGATTTGGTGATTGGAGGCAGTGTGTTCAGGCACAAAGATATCCACAAAGCGACATGGATTTCACCAGATGGACACACTAAAAATCAAATCGACTTTATCTCAATCTCAAGAAAATGGAGACGCAGTCTACTTAACACAAGGTCAAGAAGAGGAGCAGATGTAGGTTCAGACCACTATCTAGTGCAAGGAACCTTCCAAATCAAGTTAAAAGCCTTCAAGGAAGCTGGTGATAGACCTCAACCCAAGTACAACACTCGGAAACTGAAGGATGAAACTACAAAGGAGATCTTCAAGGCAGCCATCAAGACAAAATGGGAGACATCGAGCAACATCCCTGAAGAAACCTGTGTGGAAGAACACTGGAAGTCTTTGAAAGCTATGTGGAAAGAAACCTGCACAACAGTATTAGGAAGGAAGAAGAAAGAAGACAAGGAATGGATCTCGACGGATACCTGGAAGCTGATAGAGGAGAGGAGGATGGTGAAGCAGAAGATAAACCAGTGCAAGGATGCTCAACGACAAGAGGAACTGAGCACAATGTATAAAACACTGGACAAAGAAGTGAAGAAGAGTGCACGCAAAGACAAAAGACACTTCTACGAAACACTGGCAAGTGAAGCAGAACAGGCTGCAGGTAAGAGAGACCTGACGACATTGTATCAAATAACCAGGTTGCTATCAGGGAAGAGACCAACACAGATGAAACCAATAAAAGATGAAGAAGGAAATTTAATTACAAAAGAAGAGAAACAGAGGAAACGATGGGCCGACCACTTCAAGAAGCTCTTGAATCGACCACCACCTGCACTTCGTCCAGAAATACCACCTGCAGCCGCTGAACTACAAGTGAACATTAATCCCCCAACGAAAATGGAAGTCCTGAACGCCATAAAGCTACTGAAATGCGGGAAAGCAGCAGGACCAGATGGAATACCGCCAGAAGCACTGAAAACAGATGCAGAGACAACAGCGGCCATGCTCACACCACTATTGCAGAAGGTGTGGAAGGAAGAGAAGGTACCTGACGATTGGAAGAAGGGTTACCTTGTCAAACTGCCGAAGAAGGGAGACCTCAGTGCTTGCAAGAACTGGCGCGGAATCACTCTCCTGTCCACCCCAAGTAAAATATTAAGCCGCATCATCCTGGAGAGGCTTAAAGATGCACTGGATTCAAAACTACGACCGGAACAGGCAGGCTTCAGGAAGTACAAATCATGTGCAGACCAAATTGCAACGCTTCGTATCATCATAGAACAGAGCATAGAATGGCAATCACCTCTCCACCTCAACTTCATCGACTTTGAGAAGGCCTTTGACAGCGTCGACCGAGAAGTAATTTGGAAACTGCTTCAATACTACGGAGTACCGCAAACCTTTATCCGCCTCATTCAACAACTATATGAAGATGCCACATGCCAAGTAATCCACAATGGGAAGCTCAGTGATGCCTTTGAAGTGAAGACAGGAGTGAAACAAGGTTGCCTACTATCCCCCATGATATTCCTTATTGTGGTGGACTGGATCATGCAGCAAACAGTAGGCAGCGAGAAGAGGGGGATACACTGGACGACGGAAAAGAACCTAGAAGACTTGGATTTCGCCGATGACTTATGCCTAATGTCACATAAACTTGAAGATCTGCAGGCAAAAACTAACAAGTTGATAGAAGAGGCAGCGAAGACGGGACTTCAGGTGAATATAGAGAAGACAGAAGTGATGAAGATACCGCACCACCACCATCAACAACAACAACAAACTCCAATCACCGTCAACGGGAGAAACTTAAAGGAAGTAACCTCCTTCACTTATCTAGGAAGCACTGTTTCAACTACAGGCGGGACGGACGAGGACGTCAAAGTCAGAATCGGAAAAGCAAGACAGGCGTTCATTAGCCTGAAACCAGTGTGGAGATCTTCTGCACTCAGCATGCGGAACAAGATACGGATTTTCAACACCAACGTCAAGTCAGTGCTCTTGTATGGCTCAGAGACTTGGCGCGTCACGAAAGGTATTTCCAATAAACTACAGACATTCATCAACAACTGCTTACGCTCGCTGCTGAAGATCAGATGGCCAGAAAAAATAAGCAACAAGGAACTCTGGGAACGAACCAACCAAGAACCTATCACGCAACAAATATGCAGGAAGAAGTGGAGATGGATTGGCCATGCACTGAGAAGGCCGACTGAGGACATCACGCGTCAGGCCCTCGAGTGGAATCCCCATGGGAAGCGACGAGTTGGACGTCCGAGGGTGACATGGAGGAGGTCGTGCGAGCAGGAAATGAGAGCTTGTGGGCTGTCGTGGGACCAGGTTCAAAAGATCTCAGAGAACAGAGGTCACTGGAGGCGTGCTACTGAAGCCCTATGTTCCACTAGGAACCCAAGGGACTAATAATAATAATAATAATTGAAACAGAAAGTGACGACAGCATCCGATTGACAAGGAAGGTGGATGGAACTATGAAAAGAAGTGTGTATCGGAAACCAACGTCAACAGGTCAATACACCCACTTCTTGAGTTTCGTCCCCTTGCAATATAAACGAAATCTCGTTAAATGTTTGGTCCATCGGGCGAGACTCATCTGTTCAGATGATAGTTTTGACGAAGAGCTTCAAATTATCCACGATCTACTCAGTAGTAATGGATATCCAGAAACGTTCCTGGCTAAAAATATGAACACATCCAATATGAAAACCAGAATGCCTACAGTCTCCAAGAAACCATTGTTTCTAAGACTACAATTTCGAGGTGACATCATCAGCGAAATTGTGACACAACGCTTAAGAAATGCCATAAGAAGATCATTTAATGCCGCCAAGTTATGTTGTGTTTTCTACAGCCGGCCGATGATGACCACACGAACTAAAGACAGACTCCCTGACTTCTCCTCTTCTATGTGCATTTACCAGTTCAACTGCTCCTGTGGAGCTAGTTACATTGGACGTACAGTTAGGCAAGTCCGTCGTCGAATCGCCGAGCATCATCCTTCATGGCTAAGTAAGGGGGAAACCAGACTGACACGAAGCTCAATACTCTCTCATCTGATTGACACCGGCCACCGAGTTAACATTCATAATGCCTTTAAAGTTATTTATCACATTCCTTCTCACCTCACCCATCCTCTACGAGTCCGTCTTTTACATACAGCAGAAGCCATAGGAATCCACCTACACAAGCCAAGTCTGTGTGTTCAGAAGAGATTCGTACAGCCTCTTTCTTTGCCTTGGCCATCTGTATAGCTCATTTATTACAACAAGACTCTTCATTTCATCCACCACACAATTCACTATAACTAGTATTTCAATAGCTCCATTATTATTATTATTATATTATTATTATTATTATTATATTATTACAGACTTAATCATCTTTCTCTCCCCCTACTGTCTCTAATTACCGTCAACAATTTACCATTTTACGTAACAGTTCATTTTTGCTCTTTAGTTATCATTATATAAAATATCAATTATGTAAGAACCTGTTCGCAAAATCTTTCTACGATAATTAATCTTTGCTTTAGTTAACTGTCTTAATTACCTGACCAATTATCACCTTCTTGAAACTTTGAGATTGATAACCTTTCACTGAACAACTCTCACCACTAGATTGGTATGTAATTTTACGTTTGAAAATGCTATATTAGTGTAGAGCCATTGATGAGGAACTAATTGAAAAGAAATATTTCTTCGCTCACATTGTTTGTTTTACTAAATGTCTAAATGGGAATTTCTGCATTACGAATAATAGAATATACTGATTGGAATATTCTTATTACACCCAAATGTTGAACTAGAATGCCTGTCTTATTAGACATTTATCTACTTTTGCAGTTCAATGCATACCACAAATCAACAGAAATAGCATTTTCAAAGCGAGTAGCTTATTGAAAATACTTTCTCACTCACCATAGTTTAATATCTATGATTAACTCAATAGAGTATCTGTGAGACTTACTTTTGTTTGTCGCTGTTCTAAAAACAATCATATCTCACACTAAAATTTCTCTTCTAGCCTTCAAAGCTAAAATGCGAATGATAAAGTATGAATTATTTCAGTTCAGCTTATTATTGAAGAATCAACTTTGCAGTTTGTTTGAATGATGAATGAATCTAAAATAAACGTTTTTCTAAGCTTCTGATTTTCATAAAATTACTAGTCTTCATTGTGCAAAAGCTCACTTTAAATTAATTTACAACAAATCGGTTCATTTCATAATGTTTAGAAATTTTATCGATACAGTTTCGCTCTGTCAATGCTCTATTACCTTTTACTGTGGTCATCAGAATGAGGTATTTCATTACTGAGACTTTATGTATTTCACCCTCCACCTTGTTGAAAACAAATTGCGTTTTTACTTGACTACTGGCAACTACACCTCATACATCGATGTTTGGTTCCAAGATTTCAACTTAATGGTTTTGCCGACTTTCATATGATGATCATTTCGGTACCTCTAGATCGATTATGGGAATAAAAAGGTTGTGTCTTTTCATTCCGCATGGAACAAAGCAGAGCTTTTATACTATCCGAACTCGTATCAATCAAACTAATGTATGTATTTACTGTAATAATATAATAATTTATCTCATTCTTTGAGGAATACTAAAAAGAGAGGTTTTCCATAAAATTTCGTTTTACTTTAAACAAAGGGTCTCATTTTGTGCCCTGAAGAAAATCGAATAAAGCTGGTGAGCGATTTTATTCGAGAACAAACTGGCAAACGTTGTGTCGTTGTCATTGGGGCTACGACAGCTATCGAAGTAGCTAAGCAACAACTTACGGAAGCAACTATCGGTTCCAAAAGTCTTGAACATGGACTTGAAGTGAAAAGACTTCTCCAGGTGATATTTTTCATGGTTTTTAATTGTTATAAAGAAAGAAAACTCCTCATATTCTTGAAGCTATTTGGTATGTTTAATTTTATAAAGGTTTTATTCATGAGGCTTGTTTTATACTGACAAAATAAGGCGAGAATATAACGCAGTTTTTGATATGAAATGAACTGTAACTCCTGTAGTTTCATAGCCTAGACTTTAAACAGAGTGAGTTATGATGGAGTACTAATTAAAATGATTGTACTCCCACGAAAACACAATGTAATCAAATTATCACCAGACTTCCCCATCAAATTTGGAGTTGTGATGTTCTAATGATTTGAATTAATCGGCAACCAATATAAACGCCTATCTCCAACTATGAGGAAACTGGTGGTTCCTCCTTCATCAATCAGTATTAAAGTCAGAGACTTTACCACCTAGGCAATCCAGGCTACGACTAACCCTTTACGTGGGTGGATCACATGTAAGTGAATACCTGACGTGACCTAGCCATCGCTGCTTATCACTGATTGAAGTTTATCGATCAAGTTGTTTTGGTTGGTTCGCATGAAATATAGAATTAATTAGTGAAAACTTTACAGCAGTATGCTCAAGTAACGGTAACGTCACTGATTGCAACATTGGGTTACTCGGGTTTCAATTTCAGAGGAGATATCAGTTTCATCAAGAATACAGAAATGCCTTGTTGATGAGTCCCAACAAAGACAAAACGAAGGTCCTGGGCTTTCTCTTGATTGCCACCAACTAATTAACAATGCCCTTAAAAGTGTATTTTAGGTTGTATGCAGGTGACAAGAAACCACAGAAATAAAGTGGTACCAGATTATTCTGCGCAAATTGTTGCACTGACTCTACTGAAATTGAATTTTCAGTCAGATATAAAAGAACTAGAAGCATTGTAGTTATACAGACATTATGAGTATGATAGTTATCTACAACCATTCAGTTTGCTTGGTGAAGAGAGTCATTGCATTTGTATGTATGAGTCACAGAAGGCTATGGATATGAAGTTTAGGGATTATATATATATATATATATATATATATATATATATATATATATATATATATATATATATATATATATATAGACGTGACCAGAAAGTTTTGATGACCTTTTATTTTGTCATACTTATGTAATTTTGTTAAAGCATGTTTAGCTAATGAGTTAACACTGAACGTTTAATCGATTTCACTGTTTGGTCGTGCTTGGAAATAGAGCGATGCGCTGAGTATATCATCCGATGTTTGTAAATGTCCTTAAAGGGGTAGTTACAATATAATATGCATAGAAGCGATCAGATTTAGCATGTAGTCCTTTGTTCTCTGTCTCAGTCCACAACCTGTAATATTTCGATGAAGGATGTATCATCTATGACTTTCCAAAACTTGATTACTAGAAATCTAGTAAATAATAAGTTGAATAGAAATACTGCTTAGTTACCATGATCCTCTTGTCAAGCTGATTTCGTAACAAAGACATTCCTAAGCATCCATGTTTATTTAGTCTTTTGCGTAGTTCTATATTGTTCTCGTCCACCTGGAGTTTTATCAAAAAATCATTTCTAATTCAAAACAGATCTGAAATCAGATTCGCTTCCCACTGTGAAGTAAATAACTGATAATAAATGTATGCACCTGACCAAACTACAACTTCTTACAAAGAATATCACGCTCCTGGCTATCATTTGTTTCACCTGGTCGAGAAACGTCAGTGATATGCTCCTGCTTTACGGACTTCACAGGTGGATATGACTTCATCAAATTTATCAAAGAAAGATAAGGCGTGTGGTTGTTACCATTTAAGATGATTGCTATATTTAGTATATTTAACCAACCACAAAAATGTAGGCTGAGAAAAGCCCAAATGTATAGACCATTTCTATTCCTGTTTACTAGTCAGTTCCGCTACTGAACTCAAAGTGCACATTTATAGTACAATATATAAAAATCTGTCATGGGATTTAAAATAGCATATAAAGCGGAATCATGCGGTGTGATTAAAATTTACAAGGTGAGTTAATGGTTTTAACTAGAGGGATGCGGAACAAGCATAGAAGCCGACAGTCGATTGATTTGTTAAATTGCAACTTCGATGTCTTAAGCACTAAATCATGGAGTTACTGTAAAAGTTAAGTCAGTCTCTCATAAACCACCTTTAAAAATGTCATAACAGTTACACCAGCGTTTATCCAAGAGTAGTTTACCAATATATTCCTAATGAGAAGTTTTCTGCAGTCATATAGTACCATTTAGCACTAAATGAATGTCAAATAATATGGAGTCATATTAGTTTGTATACAGTGTGGAAACAACTAGGTTATGTTAAAGACATCTGATTTAAAATTCAAATGGAATAGTTTTCTTATCAGTACCTTTTAAACACTGATATTTTATCTGCTAATCTAGACAGACTACATAAAGCTGGTTATAACTCAAGATGATGTTGGTGTTGAATTGTGTGGTGCACTGAAAAATGTCGCGATCGCTGCAGGTATTTGTAATGGCCTTGAGCTAGGCAATAATACCAAGGCTGCCGTACTGCGTATTGGCTTCTGGGAGGTATCTGAGCTTATGAAAGAGTTGTTCCCTGGTAGAGGTATGTATGCACTGATTATACAGCTCCACTTTGCAAAATTGATTTCAATACAATTTATTTTGTAATATTACCCAGTCATTCTCTTTTGGTCTATTTGTTCTCTATGAAAAAGGCTCTAAATGCACTGGGTCATTTTATTGCAGTGATGACTATTCCCAAAACCTATATTTAGAATATACTGTAGTGGGAGCTGCTGATCAGAATGGACACAAGTAGTATATGTTGAGAGGGTAGCAGAAATCATAGGGAATTACCAGCAATGGGTAAAGATTCCATCCAGAGAAAAGCAAGAGATAATGTGAGCATATTAAAAGCGAATCAAGAAAGAAGCGGAAGAGGAAATGAAGCACATTTTGCAAATGACTGTCTTAATGGAAGGTGTACGATATTTGATGACTACTGTACAAGAAGTTAATAGTAAGCATTCTTTCCTTCTGCTCCGTCTTGTCGTTCCGTACGATACGACAGCTAGCTGGTCAACCATCCAGGTTGTGTAGGCATTTTTTAAAATGAAATAAATCGCTATTTGTGGAAAAAAGCAACAAATGATTTAGATTACACAATTCAACAGATGGTGCAAAAGTCATCGGGCAGTAAATGAATTCCGACGAACGAATATAAAGCTACAGTTACTGTAGACTATTGTAAATATATAGGCATTGTTCCTTAAAGGTGCATACAGAAACTTGTAGAAATGAAATTGTTTGAACTTATCAGTTAAAGGTAGCATTCATCACGGACTGACATTAGTTAGAGAAACAGTGAAAACCCTGGGTACTGGGTAGCTGTTTCGTCCTAATATGGCCCTACTCAGTAGTGTGCATCGACCAATTGATCGGAGCAGGAAACTGTGGATCATTAAACTCTGACCCAGTGGCTGAATGGTTAACACGTTTGCCCCAAACCTGAAGTTCCTGAGTTCAGTAACTGGCGGGGTGGTGGATGCGTACTGTCAAGGAGTCCTATGCTGGTGAGAAACAGTTGCTCAATACTCCCAGGTTTTCAGTGGTTCTTCAAGTGATATCAGTCCGTGATGAATTAATAAACCTTTAAAATAAATAAAATCCGCAGAAAAACCTCAAACTGAATTTATTAGTCTTTCCTGGGTAGTATTTGTGACTTCAAGTTGCTTCATCTTGTTGATAGTTCATGATGTAATTCATTCTTAGCGAAGACTATTAAATAGCGCTTTTCTTTCATATCTTAGAGAATAGAAATAAGAACATACAAGATGCGTTGGGAAGAAAGGGCACATGAACTGTCTTTTTTAACTGTAAATTAGTAGTAAATACCTAACACTCTTCAGTTACTTACGGTTTAAGACAGGTATCTTGATTGTCTAGTCACTCATAAAGCTCCTACATACATACACTAATCTAGTGAGTAGGTGTCATTCTGTTATTCCATACTCTTCGTCTAAAATTTAAAAACATGAGAAATGAAACAGAAGTCCGGTATTGTATCACTTTCTAAACAGAAAAAAGACTGATACTTTTAGCTATGGAAACTTTTAATTTTTTATAGGAAATGCCTTTTTTAAAAAGTATTGACGATGAAACAATGTACAATTGATTCAACTACTTTGTTTCCAATTTATTAATGTATACTCATTTTATATTTGCATGTAAACAGAGTTTTATCAGATGAAGAGAAGCTAAGACCTGGCGAGGAATCAGTCTTGAAAAAAACGGAAAACAATGTTTATGCTTGCAATACTGCATCAGCTAGTCATGCAATGAAGGATTACCATATCTTGTATCGTAATTTGTTATCACGAAGTGATAACCATTCACACTCTCAGTCAGATAAATTCATGCCTCATGAATATATGCTAAGGAATCTAACTGTCCTCTTCGTTTAGATGGAGTAAGTGTAAAAAAGGTGAATGAATGAGTTGACTCAGCTAAGAATATTATAGAAATATTGACTTAATAAAGTTAACGCCCATCGATTGAAAAAAAACAACACAAAAACCCCGTTCAAGTTTAGTCTGCTTGGCTGACTTCTGTTTATTTGTGAGTTCAGGTCAAATTTTGATTAAATGTTACATCAAATTACTTTTGATGGAACAGGTCACGGTAGTATGGTTGATTGATTAAGCCTATCTGAACATACTCGAAAACTAACTTCTATATGATTCATGAGGTTTTCTTTTTGTGAATAAATTGATGGAGTTAGCTTTGATCTCATTGATTAATTAATTATCTGGTTACGAGCTTAGGGATGAAATGATGAAAGTTTGTGTCGAATCATGTTACTGGAAGTAATTTCTTTTTGATAAAACGAATAATAAGTGCACAAAACAAAGGGAACTATGAATCAAGATTAAGCTCAACATCAGCATAGAACCGGGCAGCACTGCGTAACGGTCCAAGTAGCCACATTTCATAGCAGCACATCAAGTAACAAGACAATAAAATGGAAGATGAAGAAATAAAGAAAAATCGGTCAAAAAAGGTAGTAAGGTAGTAAAAGAGAGCAAGAGTAGTGGGAAGATGATGAGATTAAGTATCGTGATTAAGATGAGGATATTGTGTATAAGTGTCTGCACCACAGACATTTGATCTGGGGCATATCACCTAAAGTCTCCAACCACTGATTTCTCTTGTCCCGCAGACCATAACTGACTAGTTTCCTCTTCCATGAACTATGAATAAAAAATTTGAGTATAAGGATTCTCAGAAATATCTTCAACAATAGGAAACTTATTTTACCCTATGCAAACAACGAGTTCCTGACAGATCTCAAAGTGGTTTTCACAACGGACTGGAAAATGACTGAAATCTGAGGGGACTGGAAACTTGTTTTATAATGGTTTGGGACTCTCAGTAGTCCCAACCCATAACTCCTTGACAGTCCAAGCCCAGGACATGCAAATCTCCTGGCTAGCACGTCATAACTCATTCTATAAGTTGGAATTCAGCCGTACACATTTTCATACTACTGTCACTTTTGATGTAGAGGGAAACTTCGATATAAGATTTCAGAAAATTAATTCATATCCATGTTTACTTTTCATATGAATACAGGTACAAATTACTTAACAATAGAGCAAAGCTGCGGGATAGCGGAATTATTTATGTGTAAGTGATTTGACGTGTCAGTATATTTTTTAAAGTGTTAAAAAGACTCATTTTACAAAGTTATTTATTTATACTGTGATTCAGTTGGTAAAATGGAAACCTAGTGAGTATTAACAAATACAGTGAACTATAACATCCAGTTTAACCTGACATTTTAAACTATAGATGATACCTCGTTATTCAGATCCAAACATGGATTCAGTTAATTACGTTTGACTGAATTACTACGTGTTTATATCCTTTATACTATTAAACTAATCCATCACTTAATTAAAGCTCAAGACTTTTCCAACTTCAAATGTAAACATATAGTCCTTGTTCCCTTGATTAACAAACACTTCAATAGTCAACTATTCGTAGTTATCGATAATTCATGAGGTAATACAATTCGCAAGTTAATTTATCTAAAAGTACCTTGTAAAGCAGAAGAAAATACAGTTCGTCATTGTGAGAGTTGAGAGCTAACTACGGTGCCTAAGGAAAAGCGTAACTTAGGTTTGAAGCGTTTGATTGAGATGAGTGGACCTGAAGCTCATTGTTGACTGATCGCTTTGAAGGTTGTTTTGAAACCGGTTCCACACCCTTTATAGGGTGATTGATTGACTGATTAAAAGGAAACTGTTCATGCTACTTTATCATCTCTTGAGGCGTAGATTCTTTAAAACGTATTCAATAAAACAAGTGTAAAACCATCTTTGAATGAAAATAACTAAAATGACTTAAGTACTACAATGGAGTTGCAGATGATTGTTTCAGTGTATGTTATCCGCATGGAAAACATAATCAAGCTAAACGTCTGACCAGACTCAGTCTCAGATATTTCTGTTTATAGGCCTACTTGATAAGTAACAGACATCAAACTCAGATGTAATAGTAAGGAAATGACTCTTCAGAAATCATGTATGATCCCGAAGGTTGGCTGTTTTTAACTTTAGTTAATTCACTACAAATACGACTAATATCCCAACAATATTACTAGCTAATTCATCTCCTTAAAACTAAGAAGATTACCTCATAGATGATCAGTAGTAGATCAATAGTCATTTTTGTATTTAGTTTATATATTATAAGGTAGGCAATTGTATTCAGAGCTAATTTTGACTGCCCAGCTATAGAGGCACACTTCTTAAATTTGATTAGGATTTAAAACAGAAAAGAATGAACACAGTAAGATCAAGAGCAAAATGTTTTTAAAAATATACAATGTTTAGGTACAAAAAAAAAATAAACAGAGTAGAAGCTGATGTAACTCCGAATGAATACAAAAGGGTACATGTGAAATCAGCTCAGTGAGAAGTCATGAAGGGGAAAAAACAGGGAAGGAGAAATGGCTATATCATTATCATTTGCGCTCCAGATGAAGAGGACTGTGGAAAGGGGGTGTAACTGTAAACCAAAGCTTTAGAATAATAAGGAGTTCAAAGTTTAAGGTGCGCCTAAGTCATATAGACGAAGTTCAAACCATATGGCCAGAAGTCTCCAACAACTGACCTGGGCAGCCTCAGACACTTCAATTAGGCGAAAAAATCCCTTATATAATTTGGATAAACGATCAGATAGTTCATGAAATGGAGCTATTTTCTCACCTGATAATTCTGAGGCTTTATGACTAATATTTACACTTCATTGAACAAATCATGCTGATTGATGTATTGACTGAGTATTTCTTAACACATCTCTTATTCTTACAAGTCGTTAAACGGTCACAACCTTTTCGATTTCATTGACTTCTCTGACCTAACACTTGGTAGTTTTTATCAGTCTTACTTACTAAGTGGTTACGTAGCATTGTTATAAAGGTATTGACGACCAAGTGTATGTGACTACAGCCTTCCCTAAAAGTACAAAATTCATTCTCCATAATCCTACAGATAATACAAAGTGAAATACTGTCCACAAAATATTAATCTCAATAAAACCTCGAAATTCCTTCTTTGGACGTCAATTCGGGTGACAAAAATAAAGTCTTATTTACAGGATTAGCCTTATCAGCTACATGTAAAATTCTAACCACCATCATAAAGTAACAACTATCCACATTTTTCATACTCAGTTACTGATTTATCTCGGAAACTTATGAGAACGGTAATATTTCTATTCTCTTTCTGTTGTAATAAGAAATATACCGTAACCCTCAAAATCAAGAGTTTATTGTCATATACAAAATTGAAAAATCTATCATTTCGAATAAAACTAGTATGTAATTCGAAATGCCGTTCTGCATTATTGCTAAAGATAACTCAGCGTAGATTATCCAGTCATTTTACAAGGTTAGCTATAATGTGTTTACAATATTTCATAAACATGCATGCAACACATCACGACAGGATTATTTGCATCTCCATATTCTAAATATGTTTTTTTCGAGCTTAAAGTTTTCAAGTAAATTTAGGAATTTGCAACTGAAAGTAGTATTACGTGTTACCATTAAGAGGTACTATTCAGTAATGAAAATTTATTTTGTAACTCATGATCAAAGTTGTAAAGTGTTATAACATTTCGTAAAGAAGGCAATATTTATCAAAAATGGGAGTGCTAATTAGACAAAAACTATATCTTACGTTGCATGAAACTGAACCGGACTTTTTTGACGGAATGAAATCAAATATTTTGATCTTTTGAGCATATTTAAAGGTAAATAATATTTGTATTTCTTTCAAAATATGACGTTTTTTAATGATGGCTAGAGAAGTTATAAATTTCGGTGTTGTAGAAATTTACTCGACTTTTTGGATATAATAAAGCAGACAAATATCTGTGTCATCGTCACGCTTTATCTGAATATTTATTTCCTGTTCACCGGTACTATAGAAACGGTAACTTTTTTCATGACTTAATCCATTCAAGTAATTTTGATATCATTCAGCCAAGGTGTATCCAGACGGCGGTCTCAAAAGATACAACCTGCGTTCATTGGATGCATACTGAAACAAGAAAATACAGTATAATGCATGCCTGAACTTGTTTACTCCCCAACGGCTTTATATACTGACTAATAATACCAAGAGAAAACCTCACCTAGTTAACTTGTTCACTAGTTACTAGCCAGTCCTAAGCCCGGATAAAAAGGGAAGGTTGGGCATATGGCTAGCAACCGTACACCGTAAAACAAATCCAACCTCTGTAGAAACTTCAAAGCACAGGCAAAATGTAAAAAATAACAACAAACTTATTCCCCGCAGGAATTGGAGAGACGAAATGATGCCGGTTGGTGGAAGCCTTCGGAAAGCCAATTCGCCGATGTGTCTTCTATCCGTCGATGAAAGCGAAAGTAGATATGGGGACATGGAACGTCCGCGCTGTGTATGAACCTACAAAGGCTGGCCAGATTGCAAAAGAGACGATAAGATATAGCATAGGAACGCTAGGAATGTGCGAAAACAGAAAAAAAGGAAGTGGACTCTCCCAACTATCAACTGCACAGTAAATAATCCACTCCGACACTCTCACCCAGACGACAAGCACACTGAGTTTTCGAGTGGCTATCATGATGTCTCCAAAACATCGAATGATCTAATACAGTGGGAACTAACCTTCTCCAGCTAGATAATGACAACAAGATTCAATTCAAAAGGGAGGAAAGTTACAATCATTCAGTGCTACGCTACGCTACACACTTACAAACAATGCAGATCAAGAGAAGGAGGAGTTCTACAGACAACTGCAATCAGTAATGGACAAGACTTTAGTTGGTGATATCAAAATTCTAATGGGCGACATGAATGCCAAACTCAGAGCAGACAACACAGGGAGAGAACTGATCATGGGTCGAGAAGCACTCGGTGAAATGAATGAGAACGGACTGTTCGCAGATTTCTGCGCATTCAACGATTTGGTGATTGGAGGCGAGGCAGTGTGTACAAACACAAAGATATTCACAAGGTAGTGAGCGACATGGATTTCACCAGACACCAGGACACACTACACTAAAAATCAGATCGACTTCATCTCAATCTCAAGAAAGTAGAGACGCAGCCTACTAGACACAAGATCAGATCAAGAAGCAGATGTAGGTTCACAGCACTCACCACTTATGTAGTGCAAGGAATCTAACTTCAAAATCAAGTTGAAAGCCTTCAAATAATTTGGTGAAGACCACAGTTCAAGTTCAGCGCCCAGTACAGAAACTGAAGGACGAAACTACAAAGGACATCTTCACGTCAGTCATCAAGACAAAGTGGGAGATATCGAGCAACCTGTGTGGATGAACTCTGGAGCTCTTTGAAAGAGATGTGGAAGGAAACCTGCATAACCGTGTTGGGAAGGAAGAAGAAATACCACTTGCACCCAAAGAACTACAAGTGAACACAAGATCTCCGGTGAAAGTCGAAGTCCTGAGCGCCATAAAGCTACTGAAAAGCGGGAAAGCAGCAGTACCGGATGGAATCCTGTCAGCAGCACCGAGAACAGATGCAGAGACATCAGCAGTGGACATGCTCATACCACTAGTGGAGAAGGTTTGGAAGGAAGGAAAGGTACCTGCCGAGTGATTGGAAGAACAACTACCTTGTCAAACTTTCACAGAAGGGAGACCTAAGTCTTTGCGAGAACAGGTGCAGAATCATGCTGCTGTCCACTCCAAGCAAAATATTAGGCCTCATCATCCTGGAGAGACTAAAACGAAAATGCTCTGGATTCAAAATTACGACCGAAACAGGCTGGCTGGATTCAGGGAGAACAAATCTTGTGCGGATCAAATCGTAATGCTACGCTACGCATCATCATAGGACAGAGCATAGAATATCAGTCAACTCTCTACCTCAACTTCATCGATTTTGAAAAGGCCCTCGACAGCGTCGACCGCGTAGTAATTTGGCAAACAGCTGTTTCAACACTACGGAATACCACAAACTTTTATCAATCTCATTCAACAACTACATGAAGAGGCCACATGACAAGTAATTCACAATGCGAAGCTCAGTGATGCCTTTGAAGTGAAGACAGGAGTAAAACAAGGCTCTCTACTATCACCCATGATCTTCCTGATTGTGCTGAACTGG